GCTACTAGCCTCACCTTGTGTTTGATGTGATTTCCGCTTGCATCCGTTTGATCTTGTAGATCCCTTTCAAACTTATCACATTCTTCTTCTCCGGCTTGTCTACTAGTTTCCACGTCTTGTTCTTCTCAATCATTTCTATTTCTTTATTCATGGCCTTTCTGTATTCATCACTACCATAAGCTTCATCGTAAGTTTGTGGTTCTTCATGCGCAAGAAGGCAAGCTTCTATTATTTGAGCAGCTTCTTCAACCTCCACTCTTGGTGCTATTTGCATGATTTCACTTATAGCCTTGTATTTCTTTGGTGACTCAAAATTTTCTCCTTCTTCATTGTTATTATGGTCACCATCTTGAGGGAAAACAGGGCTGGATATCCTTTCGATCTGATTTCTTGGCGTTATTCGTCATTGACGGATAAAATAAACGTCTTCTTCACTTCTTCTTGCCTATCCCAATTCCACTTCTTATTTTCTTCAAACTGCACATCTCTTGATACTTCAATCTTCTCATTCTCTAAGATGAGAACTCTATAGCCTTTGGTATGATTGCTATAGCCAATGAAGATTCCATGCTTAGCCTTAGCATCTAACTTTCTCCTTCTTTGATCCGGAATATGCACGTAACATATACTCACAAATATCTTCCATGTGACACGTTTGGCTTGTGTCCACGCCATTTCTCTATCTGATTCACATAATCTTCAATTGCTTTTGATGGTAAACGATTTTGTAGGTAAGCCGAGGTGTATACCGCTTCTGCCCATAACTTGAGCGGAAGCCTTGCTCAACAAGCATCGTTCTCGCCATCTCAAAGGACCTATTCTTCCGTTCTGCTGCACTATTTTGTTGTGGTGAATAAGGCAAAGTAACTTGCCTATTGATTCCTTCTTCTTCACAAAAACGATTAAATTCTTGTGAAGTGAACTCACCACCTCCATCGAATCTCAACGTCTTGATGGAACACTCTGATTGTTTCTCGATCATCGCCTTGACCTTTTTGAACATTGAGAAGGTCTCAGATTTTTGCTTTAGGAAGTATACCCAACACATGTGAGTATAATCATCCAAAAACAACACAAAGTAATGGCTTCCATCAAGCAATTGATGTTGTATCGGTCCACATACATACGTATGCACAATCTCAAGCTTTTCTGCTGTCTTAGTTTGAGATTCTTTTGGAAAGCTCTTGCATGATTGCTGCCCAAGATTACACGCCTTACACACACTTCCTTGTTGACTTTAAAATTTGGTAACCCCTTACCCAGTTTTTGTCTTGCATTTGTTGTAAGCGTCGCTTGCCTACATGGCCAAGTCTATTCTGCTATGTTTCTTCTATTTGAGCATTTGCTGTCATGGCTTCTTTCTCGACTGAACTTAACTTGATCTTGAAGCTTTTTTTCGTCATTTCAATGTCCATGATCTCCTTGCCCTTTGCATCTTGGATGATGCATCTCTTGTCTTCAAAACGTACTTGATAGCCACTTGAGATTATTTGAAGAACACTCAATAGGTTCTTCTCCAAGCCAGGCACTAAGAAAACATTCTTGATGATTCTTTTGCCATGGCTTGTCATGACGGTAATATCTCCTTTTCCGGCTGTCATGACTATATCTCCATTTCCAATTCTAATCGGCACTTTGATACTTATATTTATGTTTGAGAAGTATCTCTCTTCTTTCGTCATATGGTATTGTGCAGCCACTGTCAACCAACCAAACATCTTATCTTAACGTTGTTGATGATTCCTCACTTTCACTAAACAGCATATGATCATCTTCTAAGTCTTCTTCTTTAAGACTTGCATGTGCTCCCTCTCTTTTCTTTGAGCGACACACATTTGAGTAGTGGCCGATCATACCACACTTGTAACACACCTTGTTACTTCTTTGGCTGTTGCCATGATCGCTTTTCTTCGGTTTCTTCCAAAAAATTCTCTTTGGTGTGATTCTCTTCTTGCAAATCCACACCACCGCTTGCCTTGATTGACATGGCTTTTGGTGTTTTCTGATTTGAAACTGGATTCTCTTCCTTTCGAGCAAACATAGAATGTTTCTTCTCTTACAGCAACTCTCGCTTCTTGTGCCTTCAAGATCCCAATAAATTCTGACATTTTTAGTGAATCCAAATAGCTAGTTTGCTCTAGGACACTAACAATGCTATCGAACTTGGCTGGGAGAGAGATGAGTATTTTCTGTATGAGTTGAGAGTTTGTTTTCTTCTCTCCATGATAAGTTAATTGATTCTCCAGAACAATTAACTTATCGATGAATGTCTCGATGTCATCACCGTCATACATATTTCGATTTCATACTATTTACGCAATGATTGGATTTTGACCAATCAGACTTGTGGAGAGCCTTCATACTCATCTTTCAATGCATCCCATGCCTCTTTTGATGTTGCTGCTGCTGCAATGCGTGAGAATATTTGAGGCAGTTTGCAGGATCTGCAGAGGCACCATATCATTCACTGCTGCTTCTTCTCTGAGCGTCCTTGCTCTTGCGGTTTCAGGGGTTGCTTCTTCTTGCACCGGTTCAGCCGGCACACCTTCATCAACCACCGACCATAGTTTTCTTGTTCAGAATATGGTTGCCATCTTAATACTCCAGATGTTGAGGAGCCTTGCATCGTCTCGTCTCGGTTTATTGTGGAGACGAATACAAACTCTCTTTGTTGCCTCTCTCTGTTGTTAGTCCTTTCTCTCTTGTCCTCTTAATCGTAAAGCTCTGATACCATGTTAGAAGTGAAAGCTTCTTTCTCAAAGAGCAAAATAAGTGTTTACTTGTTGCTCTGTTTTGTAGAATGAAAAACAGAGTATAAGAGAAAACTTTTGTTTATTATTGATTATGAAAAAACTTGTTGTGTTACAAATGTGAGACTTGACCTATATTGATACTAAACGAAGCATTGTGTTGAAGAGAGATGACTCTTAATAGAAAAGATACAACTTATAGAAGTAACAAGTCGTGGAAGAGAGATGACTCTTAATAGAAAAGATACAACTTATAGAAGTAACAAGTCGTGACTCTTAAGAAATGGTGACTTTTCGTTGTGTAACTAACTTATGTAAATGTGACTTTGGTTTATAGAGATTTGATTATGGTTCAACAATCTTGCTCCAAGAGCTTGCCAACAATAACAGCAACTTCTCAACTCCAGCATTTGAAGCGATTTTGTGAACATGAGTCTGATAAATAAAGATCCGTTAAACAACTTCTTAAGAAGCATCAGAACAAAATGATAGTATTCGGTTTAAAAAAATTGCTAACCTTCAATTTGTTTGATATCTCATATATTTGCATCATATAAGCTTGCATTTAGTTCATGTTTTGGTCTATTTTTGCATGTTTTCCTTCTCTTTAGTCCCATTTTCCTTTCCTTTTAGACTTAGATTGCATTGAGGTTGTAGTTTGCATTCTCTATGCATTAAGGATGTTTTTAAGTACTTAAGAAGCTATTGGGAGCAAGAAGGAAGTGTGGGAATGGTTTAAGGAGTTAGCCAAGCTGAGAAGGAGCAAAAGAAGTTAAGAGAGACGATTTCTGGTGTTCCATCGGTCATGACATGAAGCACATCGGTCAAGAAGTGACCGATGCAAAGCAGCAGAGAAGCGGGTGAATCCCATCGGTCAAGAGCATCGGTCACTTGTGACCGATGAGAAGATACAGGACACCTGCATCGGTCAAGACTGACCGATGGGATCCAAGCGAGTGGAGCATCGGTCATCCTCATCGGTCACTTGTGACCGATGGAAGCCAGTCCGAACTTCTTTTTATTTACAACTTTGCCATTATTCTAGGGCTTTTGTCTTTTACTATAAATAGGCTTGATCTAATCTTTTTAGAATAAAGTCTTGTTCTTGCTTAGTTTTAAGAGTTTTTCAGTCATTGTAAGAACAAGTCTATCATTTTAATCAAAGTATTTTGACTTGAATAGAGTTGGTTATTCATGCTTGTTGATTGTTCTAGCACTAATGAGAATTATTTCTTGTTAGGATGATTAGCAAAGGGTTATTTGTCAAGAGATTGGACTTAACTTGCTTGATTGTGAATTCTATGTCTAGGAATTAGCATTGATTGCTTGTTTGCTTCATCAATGGTGTTTGAAACATCCTAAGTCTTGCCTTCCAATGTCAATAGCCACATCTATGAACTTTCTTTCTCTTGTCTGAATTTCGAATTTTGCTTCAAATGCTCTGTTTTATTGCTCTGTTTTGTTCTTCATCATTGCCAAGTTGTTCTCTTTTGAGTTCTATTTGGTGCTTGATCACTTAGATTGATAGTCTTAGTTGCTAAGCAACACACCCTTTCTCTGAATTCACCTGATTTAAAGCTTTCTGCTTACAATTCTAGTGGTATCTAGCTTAACCCCTTAGAATTGATAAAAACCCTTACTACAATAACTAGTACGAAGGGTGATTGAGAAAGAGACTCAAAACTCTTGTATCAGCATTCCGAATGATCTGCACACCAATCTTCTGGTCAAAGTTGGTTGTTGGAAGCTTTTCCAACTCTCTAGCTGTGTATAGAAGAGCCACACCTCCTCCTGCAAAGTGTTTTGGTTTGTTTCTTTCTTCAGCAAAAACTTTTTAGCTTTATGGGAAAGAGTGTTCCTCACTAGAGAAGAGACATACCTGGCAAAGTACCCTCTTCAAGAGCTGCTTTAGTGCCATTCAAAGCATCTGTCACTTTTATCTTTCTTATCACCAACTTCAGCTTCACTTGCTCCTCCAATCTAATACCCAAAAAGCAAATCAGAGTTTATAACATAAGCAAACTGGCTATCATTATGACACTACGGAAAACTCTGAAAACATCGACCAAACTTCAAAACTGCAGTTTCTCCTTGCCATAATCTAAGGTGCTCAGACCTAATCTGTATGTTGCAATACAAAGCAGTCAGAACGATATTTTTTTTTTTGCAACATCATCTTCCTCCATACAACTTCTACCAACTGAGTTTTATCAAGGCTTCGAGAAACCAAACCGCTCACATTTCTCCTCAATGGCTTTCTAATCGCCAGGACCCATCAAGAATAGCGGTGTTGTACTTGGAGATTGTAACCTAGAAATAGCAATACCAATAAGTACCATGGTCCACCTTTTCCAGGGTTTATGCCAAGCTCATTTGTGATAAACTGCATCAATACTCTCCAAGCGTAAAGCAAGGTTCACAAGACTAGGCACTTTATGCAACAAATGTACTTTACTACCTCTCCACCAGTAAGGGCAGCAAGGTCATGCAAAATTTCCTTCTTATGCTCTCCAAACCCATGGGCTTTGATGGCACAAACCTACAGAGAGGAAACTATTCCGGAGAACCATCACTCAAAACCAGGAGACAATAAGTCAGTTGTTCATACCTTGATTGTGGCACGTAGCTTGTTAATGATAAGAGTTACAAGAGCTTCACTTTCCACATCTTTATATATAATCAATAGCGGTCTTCGTCTCTATAAGTTTTTATACGGAAAATTAATGGATAAATAAAACACATCAGATTATTTTTATTATGAAAAATTCGAAAGAAATGATTCCAAATTTACTTAGTGAAGATAACCTTCAGAGCCAACTCCAAAACTTTCACAATGGAGATCTTCTTCTCGTGGATAAGAGTGAGAGGCTCATCCAATTCCTACATAGATACAATCACATTCTGTAAATTATATAACTGATATGACCAATCAAGTAACATAATTGAGTTGTGGAAAGAATAAAACGTACACGTCTTTGGTTTTTTTTTATTGGCGGTAAAGTATGGGATGTGTAACCTCTGTCCAATTTCATCCACTCTACAATTTCCAACTCGTTAATCAATATCTTTTCATTCTGCAATGCATTTCACCCGCGAAAGAGCTATGGTTTGACCAATCTATCAACAACATAAGAAATCATTTCGGAGATTCACTTACACCTTCTTTGCCGACCCTCTTTATAGCCCTTGCGATCAGTTCACCGATTTCGCTCTCTCCATTTGCAAAAACCTGTGCAATCTCTTAGGATGTGCTGAGCATCCTACCCTGCTCTGGAGATTTGACACCACAGCATCAACTGCGATGGAGATATCACGCCTTACATCCATTGCATTCATTCTTGCCGTGGCTGATTTACAACCTTGGGTGAATATTGCATGTGTGAGTAGCTGTAAAGTTTAAGAAAATAGTTTTGTAAAGTGTTAGAGAGGAAATGAGTACATTTTCTAAAAGGTCTTCCCTCGTAATAACCTAAGTCCATCACAATCAGGAAGACCGCGCCGACCTAGCTCGGATTAAAGGAAAACTCTTAAAAGATAATTATGGAAGACCGGAAACATCAGATTAGCCCAAAAGATAAATGAGAATTTTCATATTCTTCAGAGAATAAGGAATATTTCCATATCATAGATACGGAAATATTCACTAAAGGCAAAAAAAAAAGAACTCAAAGCAACCGACCTCCCATTGCTATAAATACAAAGGTCTCGGAGCCTGAAAGAAATAACTCATACAATCTAGAGAGCAGCAGAGCTAAAACCCGAGACTCCAACGCTTTCTAGTTTACTTCGCAAATCTTCTTTTCACTTCGGCAAAACCTCTCGGTTATACCCTTCTTTGTAATTGCTACGCTTTCCTACTATTAATAAAGATCTTATTCTCCAAAACCCACAACTGTTAATCAAACCCTAGTGGTGATTTTCTGGTTCAACAATTGGCGCCGTCTGTGGGGATTAGGAGAATAAATTCTTAAAAAAAAATCTAGTAAGAAAGCCGAAGCAATAAGCCTCCTCGTCGACAAAAGCGATCTTATTCGCACCAGCAGCCCTACTACCGCGATCCCACCACCTACGAAAAAACACGTACGAGCAACCATCAACGGTACCCACATGATTCTAGGAGGAATATTTCACGATCCCAGCTTGTTGCAAGAAATAAGACAACACGAAGAAAAGGCGGCGGCGGCAAAGCGAAATCCACCCATCCCAAGATACGAGACGCCGATAGAATTCACAACAGAGGATCAACATAGCACGCACGAACCACACTTCGACCCGCTAGTAATAACTTTACAGATCCATGACAGCATGATCGCCAAAGTCCTGATCGACGGTGGGAGCACAGTCAACATCATATTTGAAGAAACACTGTCAAGAATGCATATTGATAAAAACAAGATAATAGCAATCAGAAAACCATTGACCGGATTCGCAGGCGACACCTCTTACAGCATCGGTTCGATATACCTAGTCACTTACATCGGCGGCATGACTAAAAAAGGTAGAATTTGCAACCGTCCGACCATCTACAATGCCATCCTTGGAACACCGTGGATTCACGCCATGAAAGCCATCGTCTCGACGTACCATCAATGCATCAAGTTCCCAACCCCACCTGGTGCATTCACACTTCTAGGCGACCAGTCATCAGCACGAATGTGCCTTCTCAACGAAAGAAAAATCAGCTCGGCGTATAGAGTCAAGTTTTCTTATGCGAATGCATCTTGCTGAGTCAATGTTCTGGCCAAATATTCGACTCGAAAAAAGCAAGCACAATAAACAAAATAAGTGGCTGATCACCACTCCTTTGATGCTTCGGTTCGATTTAAATACTTCCGAAGCGGATAAGAAGAAAGCCGATGACAATACTCGCACGATCCTCGATCATACCTTTCAGGCTAAAGTGAATCCTGAATAATTGGTATTCGATCTTGATCGTCGTTCGGTGTAAGACGGGCAAAGGAATCCCGCTTCTGGTTCTGAACTAAAAAGTTTTATCACGCATAAAAAAAACGAAACGAAGAAACAATAAGGAGCAGTTAAAGGAACTTTTTCATTATCAAAATATAATAGGCCGTCTCAGGCAAAATTCTTACAAAAAAAAAGAAGGATAAAAAGATATATAACAAATCGCCGAAGCTCATCTTTGCAGCCCGTCAATCTCCGAGCGACTTGGAAGATTGAGATCGTTGCTTGTGATTACTATCTCATCAATAGCATCGCTGGCCGCCTTCCACTTGGCAAACTCCCTCTCAAAAGATGGAAGGGTCCCGGCAGGAAGCTTCCACCCTTTCTCTTGCATCTTCTTTAAGAAAGCCACCATATGGCCACTCTTTTCCACACCAACGAGGGCCGCTTCCACCTCTTCGCGCTGAACTAGCGAGGCTTGAATCCGATCTAAACGCGGCTTGAACCAAGCAGACATATCATCAAAAACTTTGTTAGCAGCATCTCAAGCAGCTTCCTTGTAAGCCTTTTGAAGCTTCTCCTTCTCGGCAAGAAATCCTTGCAGGTTCTCCTCATTCTGCCTTTCGAGAAGCTCATTTTGAGCCTGGACAGCGGCGACTTGCTTGTGGAGTCAATTAGCTTCATGCACCTCAACCTTAAAAGTATCAACGGTGCCCTCCAGTTGAGCGCACCGCTCCTTAAGAAGCCGATTCTCTTCCTCCGTCTTTTTAAGCTCCTTGATCTCGGAACACGCAGCATTAACCATCGCTTCTTCTTCGCACCAGTTATCATTGTACGCAGCGAACGCGGACATATACTTTCTCAAACCCTGTAGTGCAACCTACTATCAGAAACACACCAAAAAATGAGAAGAAGATGGGTAGCACAATCATCGGATAAATAAAATTACCCGAGCTATCAATTGGCTCGCCGAGGAGATCGAATTCATCAGCTTCAACTCGCGAAGTGGCTTTACCCATCGCAGCTTCTCCCTGCACTTCCAGATCAAATCCGCGGCAAACTCGCGATTAAGCATCGCCGGAGTATTCCCGTCCCATCTCATGCAAAGATGATGAGGATTATAATAAAAAACTCCTCCACCTGCTTAGGTTCGATCGGAGCGCTTGAATTGGCGCCTTCTGTACCAGCATCCTTTTGAGAAGGAGCAGCCTCCTCAGGAGCGCCAAGACCAGCATCTTCCATGTCCGGAGCAACCTCGGGAGGGGTCGTCCCTTCGGAATAAGTTGCGCCGGGCTCTTCGGTCCTATCCCGACCTACATCTTCTGCGACATGTATCTCAGGGCTTTGAGACACACCTGTCCGAGACGGTGAATGAACGTCCACATGAGGTGACGAGGGAGCATCAACTGAAAGGGAAACAACCTCGCGACGGCTCCCGGTAGCAGCAGAAGCACCCTCTCCATCTGCGACTTGAGAGGTGGGAGTATGGGACGCCTCACCCTGCGAATCCTTTGCAGTTTTCTCAGCCAGCATCTGCCTCAATCTCTCCAGCGCCGCCGCCCTAGAGAAACTTTAAAAATAAAAAAGGGGGGCAAACCGAAGCAATGTAGCGTCAGAAATCTCTTCGGCATAATAACACGAAGCTAAAAAAATTTACCTCGTCTGAGTCTCGTTCTCAGCAGCCACTTCGGCGGATCCTGGGAAGTCATCCTCTTCTTCTTTACAGAAGAACTCGCCGGAGCATCTGCGGGAGCCGGCAAAGTTGCCTTCCTCTTCTTTTGGCCAGTCCTTACAGGTTTCGGCTGCGAAGCCCTCCGAAAAGCTACAAAAGCAACAACAAATACGTCCATAAGACCTCATCATCAAGCGACTGATTAAAACCACTTCGCTTAAGTAACCTACCAGCTTTTGAAGGTTTGGCCTTCTCCTCGGCAGGCTTAACCGCCTTCTTTCTAGCAGCCCCCTTCTTCTCTTTATCGGCCCATAACTGCCGGCTCAGATCGCGCAGCCTCTTGAAGTCTTCGCTAAACCCGATTGGGTCATCCCTCAGACGTATTTCCACTATAATGGCAAATATGTATTAGTACCCAGCGAGTCGTCAAACAAAATCAAAAATAAAAGTCAATCAGAAATTCCATTCTCCTTACATGGCGCCGATCTCCAAGTTCTGAAGAGGGTAAAATCGGAACCACCAATGGACGCTTCGTTAATCTTCACGAAAAAGAAAAACCGGTCCCATTCGTGGACCTTGCTCGTCGGATCACCACCTATGATTCCCTCCTTCATCATGGTGTAAAAATGGCACCACCCGCCACGGTTCACCCTTCCTCTCTTCAAGATGGACACCCTCTCAAAAATGTCCCAGTAAAAAGGAACCATAGCTGCACGAGCTACCGCCGCCAAGCTATTGAAGTGACAGATTACCGCATGAGTAATCTGCACCACCGACATCTTCCTCCGTTCGCAATAACGGAAAAGCAACGAGATCGGGAACTGAAGGCCGAACTCTGCAAAATGACACTCGTATAAGCAGAAATAACCCTCTAGGGATGTGGTCACTCTCTCGTGAACTTGAGAAAGTAGCAGTTCAACCTCAACGGGAAAACCGCACTTCAAACGAAGTTCCTCGAGCCTTTCCGCGGTCATCCAAGTCCTCCCGTCTTTAATGCTGGTCCTATGCGGCGACATTGCAATCTTCTTGGGGAGACCCTCGACCCTGATCCCCGATTCAAAACTCGCTGGTCCAGGACCATCCAAATCTACTTTGGAGTCTGGATCGGGATGATCCGACGGAATCTCGTCCCGATAGTCCGAAGAGCCCCCGAAAATGGAGGAAGTAGAAGCGACTGGACTAATTCAAGCCTGCTTGGTGCGGTCGGCGAGACAAATCTCGTCGTCATCAAAAGAAGAATGCGAGGAAGCAGCAGACATCTTTGAAGTTTTTGAACGAAATAAATGAGCAAAGAAAAGATAGGCAAATCATTATAGAAGATTGCTGCAGAAATCGGCAAAGGAGACGAAGATTTTCTAAAAGCAAGAAGACGAAGAGGTAAAAAGTAAAGTAAATAAAATCGGAAAAAAATATCAACAGTTTCCTAAGAAGACACGTGTCAAGATTTTTACAATCTTGTCGTCTGGCGAACCCTTCGCATTTCGCGTTTAAAAGCAGAAACCCTAATGGGTCGGAGTATTTAATAAATTCTTGACACGCCACGTGGCGAATCCACTTAAAATCTAGCCGAACTGGCTTTGGCAAAAACAATGCTCTTGACGAACTGACAGTTACTGCGAAGTCAAACCCACCTATAACATCATGAAGTCCGCCGACCTGATTTACAATCAGTCTCGCCGAACTGGGGGGGTTACTGTTAGAGGGGAAATGAGCACATTTCCTAAAATGCATTCCCTCGCAATAACCTAAGTCCATCACAACCAGGATGAC